ACTAATAATAATTTTGAAAATAACACATAAAAGATAAAAATGAAGGGCCTCCTTCAGGGTATGTGTCTGCTGTCACAACAGACAATGTGGGCAGCAGTGTGCAGATATAAGTTAATGAGTCTCAGCAAGCCAGTTGCAGACCCATGAAATTTAGGCAGATTTCTGGCTGCAGTCCCAAGTTGAGCTCCCTGTCCTCCTGCAGGGTTGAACTCTGCAAGGCTCTACTGCAGGTAGTAACGAACCACTTCTGTACTATGTGTGAGAACAGAACTAGAAACTTCACAATACTATCATATGGAGTTAATAAATTTTCAGACTTTTTTAGCATGAAAGATACTTAGTATATTTAAACTTTTCCTGTCTCCTTCAGTAATTTTTGTAATTTAAATCAATATTTTATATCTGGCTTTCTATTAGTTAACTTGTATTTTTAATATATTACTTATTTTGCTTTAAAAATATTTGTCATTTTCAGCTTTGTACTTAATAATTAAGCTTTAATTACATTTTTTTGCTGTATTTGCTTCATTTTCCATAATTTTAAAGGATGATTTTTGCTTTTAATAGTGTTAAAATCCTTGTCCAGGCAGAGAGCTTGAAATGTGTGAATCTTGTCCCTTTCATCGTTTTCTTCTCACTCTCATTTAAAAATATAGGTCTGCAAAAAATGAAATAACCATTGCTAATCCTGGTCCACCCAAGATAATCAGTGTATAAAATTTTCAATATATGGGTACATGCACCTAGGTGTGTGTGTATGCATGTGTACGTGTGTGTATGCTGGAGTTTTTATCTAATTTAAAATACATCTGTAGTTAGAATCACCACTACTTTCTCACTTTTTATTCTAAATCAAAATGATCCCAAAATGTAAATTCCCAAGGCACTTTCTTCATTTATTGACCTAAATAGCTTCTAAACATGGACAAACAGTAATTTAGGAAGCTCTTGTATTAAAAACCTAAGAGTATATGCAGTTGAAAAAGTAAGTACTTGTTTTATCCTGGAATTAACCTTCTTTTAAAAAATTTTGCCCTTCAGTCAATCTTATTTTTAATTATTTGAGTAATAAATATGATATCTATAAAAAAGTTGAGCAACATTGGCATTTTGTGTTTTGGTTTTTCCTACAGCAACACTCCAACAGACTTTGAATCTAATACCATGACAGATGATGTACCAAAACCATCAGAAGTGGCCTGAATCACTACTGCTGTCATTACTGAAGGGGTTGAACTACATAATAATAAATCATCTGAGACTGAAACATCCAACTTGTGTCTGGTATCTTCTCTGTATTTCAATTCCACTTTTTACCTTATTTATCATAACTTATGCTCAAAAAAAGCTCAGAATCAGGAAAGTACAGCTTAAAATCCTTCTCCAGTGAAGTCAGCAAGTCCTGCCAGTTCAGTCTCATAGCTTAGCCTGGGCAGGGAGCATTCTTTGTCCTTTTCCCTATGTACTGTAGATTGACCCAAGACTCCCTCTCTCAGTCTGACCTCCCCACTTTCTTGAAGACCTCCTAGACTCCACCTAGTCTGTGACTTGTCCTAGTAACATTTATGAAGATAGAAACTGAACTGAGCCCTTATGGGGTACTGCTTCTCTCGGAAAGCTTCATAACCACTTTTGTGTGTTGGGATAACTGTTTACCAAAAGTAGATTTGCCATGAAGCTAAGGAAGCAAAAACTTCCTACATAACCCCTTTTCAAAGTCATGGACATAAGTTTGAATTCTTAGTGTTGATCATGTTTTATATGATTCAGGCCGTCCTCAACATGGATGCACCTCTGCTGCTCACTAATTTCCTTGACAGTGGAGCTGTGGAGCCAGTTCACATCAGCTCACCAGGGCAGATCATTAAATTTTCAGAACTAGTGCAAATAAGGCACTATTAAAACATTATTTTCATTTAAATTTATTAAAAACTCATACTTACTACATTTTTTGTGGTTATTGTATCTGTATGGTGGAATTCCTGTGCAGTATTATAGTGTGTGCATTCCATATCTTCCAATTCTCTTTCTAAAATCTTCAAATATTAGCTTGAAACTGACTTTCACTGAAGCTAATAAACCCATAAATCTGGGTTCTTGTCCTCCAAAGAATCAAGTATATAACATTTAGCAGCATGCCTCAGCCTTCATCTATCTATGTTTTTTTTCCCCAATAATTTGTTGGAGGTAGTTTTTTGGTAAACACAGTACTAATCTATTCCTAGGTCTTCCTGGACCAAAATATCTAGTTGTCTAGGTCTCTAGTAAGTCTGATATGATTTGAAGAAGATCTGAGAGCCACATTTGTAGGAAGTAAAAATGTATTTCACACATAGTCTGTAATGGGAGCTAGAGAAATTGTTGGTTATACTATCAAAAATGATTAAGACTATCAAGTCATAGTGCAAAAATTTTGTCCTTAGAATTTTTCAAATATGGATAACCTGGAAGGTCATCCTAGATGGAGAAAAGGAACATCATGACAGACAAAAATCTCCCAGGTGCTGTGTGATTAACTAACACATTTTTTAAGGACTAAAGTAAATGAAATAGTCAGGTGGCTCTGGGACAAGTTAACTTTGGAAGTTAGGTAGGAGCATTTCTACTTTCACTGATCCCTAACCTTAAATGGTAAAAAGAGGAGCATGAAGAAGGATTTGCAGACATGGAGTAGAAATGTCTTGCAGAAAAATCTTTTTGCTTTTAGGTTTGAAAATGGAGGTGAATGCTGTAAGTCTGAAGGTGTTGCCAACATTAAATATTTTGCTTCCTAAAAGAAAGCTTCTTTATTACCCACAATTCCATACAAGCTGGGTCAAAGGCTGGTGAAGATTTGGAAATCCTATAGTTGCATAATACTTTGAGAGGTTATTCTAAACAGTGAAAATGAATCTTTGCAATTTTGTATCAATAAAATGTGTGCTGTTACTCAGATACAAGCTGCTATGGAATATTTTTTAATAGGAGGTATACATTCTCAAAAATCAAAATATAATATTGCAGACAGGATCTTATCCTTGACCTTTTTTTGAAATTACTCTGATGAAATCATCAACCTCAGTATTGTTAAATTCTGTGGATTGCTGTAAGTCCTCACTCTCTTTTCCTTCTTAGTTGATGTTTGATTATTCCACTGCCTAGGAGAGGGCCTGTCAGGCAGTAGACAGCCACGCACAGAAATATCTGATTCAGATGAATTTCAGGGTGTGTGCCAGTAGTAATAAAGTCTGACCTCAATGGATGTGGGAAATTGTAGAATTCAGCTATCTAGTTGTAAGAATTGATCACAAGAAGTTTGTTAACTAAGAAAATTAAGTTGTTTCTGGGAAATTCCACAAGTCTGTTTGTTAAAAGAATGCCAGAAAACTTTAAGAGACATTGTAAAAGTCTCACAGGAGAAAAACAGGTTTTCCTAGTTTTCTTATTTACCATTTTCTGGGATCAGAGAACTGCGACCCAATGACTCTATGGATGGTGAGAGAGATACCACTCACTATGCACAACTGTGATGTTTGTGGTGGGCCGGTGGGCTAGATTTTGGCTGAAGTCGCCCTGCTCTCTTGGTACCATCTGATAAGAAGAGGGCTGTGGTGTGCTCTTTGATGTACAGGATTGGTGAAGGGAAACAGGGGACTTGTAAATTTTCCTGTAGATTTTATGAGTCACTTAAAGTCACGGGTTATCATCAGATGTAAAAATCAGAAAGACAGTAGCCAGAATAACTAAGCTGCTTTCCTACATGTATAAAAGCCTTGCTTCTTTCCTTTGTGATTGTCGAATAGTGCCAGAGGAATTAAACTGCTGTTTGTCCCCCAGGCTGTCTCCTTTTCTTTCTTTAAAAGTCGGTGCTTTCCGGGGTCTCAGGTCTCCCTCTAGAGAGACCACCAACAAATGGATACAACTGTTCTGTAAATTTCAACCAATTATTTAACTAAGATAGAGTAAAGCTATTCTAAGACATTGTCATATGAATCATACACATTCTGCATTTATTTTAGTATTTAAATGTTTAAGATATTAAGTGCATAAATATTATTTTTGTTTAGTTTGGTGATTCATATTCCATAACTTTTTGGTTTATACATATAACGACACCGGAGGGAGCTGTATTCTTCTTCACATTTTAAATCAACAAATGTCTTTGACATATTTCTTTCTTGAGATAGACACATCAGTTAAACTGAGATTTTTCCACATGTTGACCATTTAATACAAATATTTACTGTACTTTGACCAATATTTAGTTTGACCATTGCATTAACTTTCTGTTTCTGGTACAAAATATCAGACATACACAACTTTAAGGAGAAAAGGCTTATTTTGGCTTATGCTTTCAGAGTTTCCAGTCCATGGTCAGTTGACTTTAAGGCAGAAAGAGTGTGGCAGAGGAAAGCTGCTTACCTCATAGTAGTCTGAAAGCAGAGAGTAGGTTTAAGAATGAGAGAGGAGGAGGCAGGGACAAAAACTTTCCCTGCCAAGTTACACCCTCAGTAACCTACTTCCTCTAAATAAGTTCCACTTTCTAATAGTACATTCAGCTATGAATTCATCAATGGGTTAATCCTTTTATTAGGTTAGTACCCCACAATCTAATCATCTCCCACAAGCCCCACCTCTGAACATATGAACCTTTGGGGGACATTTCTCAACTAAATGATAACTTCTGTCATTGGCTCCCAAAAGTTCATATCTGTTATGAAAATGTATTTAGCTCATCTCTAAGAGTTGCTAAAGTCTCAAAAGTTCTAGTATTTTTCAAGTCTAAGGTCCAAATCCAGACTCTCTTCTGAGATTCAAGCAACTCTTAGCAGTGAATGTCTATAAAAATAAAAAAAGCAAGTTACATATTCCCAAGATACAATGGCATAGGATAAACATTCCCATCGAAAAGGGGAGAAGTAGAGGGAAAGGAAAATAATCAAAGGAAATAACCAAAGCAAGACTATTATGGTTTAGTTCTAAATGACCCCCAAGAGACTTGTGCTCAGAGGTGGGGCTTTTGGAAGGTGACTGGACCATGAGGCACTGTTAGTTCAGAACTGTTGAGTTCAGAGCTGAATGTGCTGTTAGGAGGTGGGCCTGGTCGAAAGAGGAGAGTCACTTGGTCCATCACCTGGAAAAGTGTATTCTTATCTCCAACTCCTTCTTTCTCTCTTTGTTTCCTGGCTGTGATAGATTGAACAACTTTTCTTTTACCATGCCCTTCCACTATGTCATTGTCTCCTTGGAGCCAGCAGACTCTGGACTGAAACTACGAGCCAAAGTAAGCCTCTCTTTTAAGTAGTGGGTGTTGAGTGTTGTGTTCAGTGACAGAAAAGAGACTTAGACAAAGACCAAAAGCCAGCATGGCAAACATTATATCCCATAGGCCTATGATAAGTTCTGGGGTATATGGTGGTGAGATGTGAGTTCCAAATGGCTTGAACAGCCCCACCACTATGTTCTTGAAAGTTGCAGACCACATGGCCTCTTTCCTGAGCTGGCTCTGGTCACTCCCTACAGACATTCCACATTTCATGTTCCTGGCTTCTCTAAATTTCTGGGATCTCTGCTGAATTGATGGAATCACTTCCCGAGCCTCACCCATCACTCTCCCATGGGCTACTGGGAGGGAATTCAACTCTGTCACACATTGCCAACTTTCCTTTTAAATCTGGTTGAAATCCTCCATGATCCCATAATACTTGCATTCTTCTCACTTGCAAAGCCATCATCACATAGACAGTCCCAAAGTCTGCCACAAGCTTAGGCAGTAGCCATGCCCACTTGTACCTTGGCTGCAGTGGCCTCTAAGAGCCTGGATGTCTAAACTCAGGGAAACACTTCCTTGCATGGCCCTGAGTGAACAAAGTGCTCTGTCTCTTCCCAAAGTGAATTCCTTCAGAAGTGTTTATAGTTTTATAGACTTCAGCCTGCAATGGTGGGCTCTTGCCAATTCCTAAGATACCCTAAAGGCATCTTCTCTATAAATGGTCTGCAGTCCAATTCCCAACCATGCTCCAACTCCTAAGGGCACATTCAGCTATGAATCCATCAATGGGACATTTATGAGGTTAGTATCATGATCAAATCATTTTCCAAGAGCACCACTTCTGAACATATGAGCCTTTTGGGGGAAGTGTTTGATCCAAACCATAATAATTGTGGTGTATAGAAGTTGCATGAGAGAAATGAAACCTAGGTAGAGAAGAATACTTTGGGAAGCCATAAGTGGCACAGATTAAAGAGCTTTTGAAACTTTATTCTTCCCATGCAAGTGATTTGATAATTCTAT